TGTGGGATCGGGCAGTGTTTCGTTCTGCTGTGCATGGGGTTGCTATGAGTTGGAAACAACTCCACGGCACCTAACAAGAACAACAACATATTTAAATAAAAATACTTCTATAAGAGGTAGTCTTCATCATATCTTGTCTAGGAAAATTAGGGAGAAATGTTTGGGGAGAGTGGGTAGAAAAGCACTGGATCAGGTGCAGTTCCAGATAGGCTGGCCTGGAAATTCTCTATTATGCTAGCTTTCAGAAAATTATATAATAAAATGATTTACAATGAAATGTAGATGACTGATTGAGCTAACCAATGATTTGTTACCCTATCTAAATGCAGCTGAAATATTAGATGAAATTGGATAGATAGAAAAAATTTATTTTAAGAGGAAGAGAGTCCTGCTGTGTATCACTAAAATAATGTCTTGGAAATCGATGGTCAATCTATGTTGTAAGAAGGTGCAAAAACGGTTTGGAGGCTGTATAGTCTGACCTCCTCTCACTTCACAAGGGGGGAGAAGAATCAAAGTCAGTAGCCCAAGACTGATTCCTATGAAGGAGTGGTCATACATGCTGCCACCCTCCGACCTTTTTACCAATTCTGACACCAACCATCCCTTCCAACAGCACTGTCCATTCTCTGCTGAATTGATAATTAGTTGCAATGGCCACACAGAACTCACAGAGAATATTCATGATTAGAGGGGTTTATTAAGGAGGTAACAGATTACAATTTAGGACCAGGAGCAACTCAGGATACTGTTCTTCAATCAGGACAGCTTCTTCTCAGCCATGCCACAGGCATGCTTCTCTACCACTGTGGCCTCTCGGCCCTGCAACACCTTGGCCTCTGCCCTACTCAGGCAAGTATTACAAAGCTCTTTCAGCTCTGCTGACAGGTGGCTAGAGAGGCACCCCACTCCGCCAGTAAGCTTCCTGCCTGAAGGCACTCAGCTTTCCCACTCCATGGGCTGGGAAGCCCACCACTCTGTCTTATGCCGATCTCTGCTGCTCGCAACTTTTGCCATCTCAGCAGTGTTACAGATCTCTCTCTGTCTCCTGGGTGGAGGAGATTCAGCACAGGGATCTTGGGTCCAAAGGATACACTAAACTCCTGGCTCTTCTTTCTTGATGATAGTGAGATCCCTCTCTTTACCGCTGGGATGCTTCATTTTAAGCCTAGTGGAATGGCAAAACTGACCAATCCCCATGTTAGGGTTCCATACCCCTTATTTGCACTGTCCCAACCACCCAAGGGTGTAATGTGCATGAATTACATTATTATTAACAAGATATCTAATACCCCTAGGAGGCCACAAGCACCTCACATTTGCATAGTTCCATCAGTCATCTGATGGGAGTCACAAAGACTGGCCAGAAGGGCAATATTAAGTAATTCACTGTACTACAGAAAGGATGGAAGTACTAATTTGTGATAAAACTAGTGATTGGCCAAAAGCAGGTGCTAAATTTTTATATTCATTTGGATGATCAGATAGACAGTGATAACTGGGACGGGTGAGGTCAACTTAGATTGACATATTGGCTCAGGGGAAGAATTGATTAAATCCAGCTACAGAGGTTAGGAAAAGCTGTTTGGAGGTGATGTATAAATGCAAAGCAGGTTATTCTAGGCCAGTGCAAGGCACAAGGTCTGGAGACCTCTATTTTCAAAAGCTTGCTAGGTTTTGCGTAAAACACAAAAGGTTTGAGAATGACTCTCAGGCAGCTGGAACAGCAAGAGAAAGAGCTCAGAGGCAGGGCCAAGTGCAGGTGGGTATGGTTTTTTAGTTGTTGGAAATAAGGCCAAAAAGGTAGATTTGGGAGATGCCCTAGCATCATACCATCACATTTTAAGGAAACAAATCTAGGCCTAGTAATTAGTTAAGTGATTTGCACAAAGATACACAGCTATAGAATTGCAAAAATGGATTTAGCATCCTGGTCTCCAGTGTTGTTTCCACTATACTGGGTGCCTAGCGAGTAGCTGTTGTTATTGTTGTTATGTGCCATTGAATGGTCCCAACTCTTAACGACCCCTTCTTGGGTTTCCAAGGCGGTATCACTAAGGAAGTAGATTGCCCAACCTTCCTTCCCAGGAGTGGCTGGTGTGTTTGAACCGCCAGCCTTCTGGTTAGCAGTCAAGTGCCTTAGGCACTATGCTACCAGAGCTCCTGGGGAGTAGCTAGACCATGGAAATCCTTGAATATCTGAAGAATGAAATTTTTGACATGAGTCAGCCTTAGGTCAGTTGTGGGTAGGGAGCCACTTAAGTCACTTGGTGCTAAACCTCCTACACTATCTAAAGAATTACTTTTTTTGGCCTCAACAGAAAAATGTTCAGTATTTCCTTTTTTACACAGATTCCCTAACACAAAAGGTAATGACATTGCTTTGAGACGTCTGTAAGGATCACATGTTGTAGTCCTCTTCCCAATCTCTGGTTTTCTGTAAAATCCTCGATGACACCATCAAATAATCCTAGGGTACAGCGCATCTCTGACCATACCCCCTGCAGAAGAAGCCCCACCCCTCAGCATTTGCTTGTTCCCCACCCCCTGGTGCGTCGTGGCGTAAGACGTGGGTCACGCAGTATTAACAGCTGTCCCGGAAGCAAAAACGAAGGGGCGGAGAGGAAGTCGCAAAGAAGGGCTTCGCGTCAGGATCGGACGGCTGGGGGCGGGGCCGGGCATGGTAACGGCTCGGAAGCCGAGGGGGCTGGGCCTGAGGGAGCGGGAGGAACTGGTGTCTGGTGCTGCGCTGCCTTTGCCTGCTTTGCTGCTCCAGCCTTTACCGTGTGGCCCCCGCGGGCCCCGCTTCAGCCATGATGATCCACGGCTTCCAGAGTAGCCACCAGGACTTCTCCTTCGGGCCTTGGAAGCTGACGGCGGCGAAGACCCATATCATGAAGTCGGCGGATGTAGAAAAGTGAGGCTTTGGGGCTCAGGCTGGGGACGCGGACGCGGGCGCGGGAGTTGGGCCAGGTCGAGAGGCAGAGCTCGGTGCAGCTGTGCTCTTTTCCCCTGGAGCAGGAACCTTTGAATGACAACAGCATTAGATAATCGTATCACCACGTCTGTACCTTTGGTTACGGTTCGTCTGGCGCCGCCTTAGTGAAATTCGCTTCACCTGGGTTTGAGAAGCGCATCACCTGCGCTACCTTGGGCCATTTCTTTCTGGATGATCGGGCCTTTCTTGAGGGTTATTAACAGGGATGCTATATATGTTTAGTTTTTAGCATCTCGTATACTGTGCCAGGAACGTAAAATACAGAAGATCAAAGACGACCTCTGTCTCAAGGGATTTAGTCTTGTGAGAGAGCCAGACAATTATGATACAGTGTGAATAACTGTTCATAGTAGAGATGTGGGGTTATTTGCGATCGTTTAGGAGACAAGGCGTCTGAGAATTTGGGATGCTTGAAGTGAACCTTAATAAATACAATCTGAGACCATGCGGAAAGACAGAAGGCCAAAAAGAGTGAGAACGTGGTTGCGATTCCTGGACTGAATCTTGACAAAGTTTGGAGGGCCGAGGGGATGTGAGTAAAACCGAGGGATGAGCGAGAGTGAGAGCTGGGTCGTGTTTGAGAAACTGTTTCTGTGTGGTTGGAGCAAGTAATACCTGAGGGAGAGTTGTGAGAAAGGAGAGGTAGGCCTCATGGGGAATCAAGATATTGAGGGAAATTTAGTGCCAGACTAAGGAATTTTGAATATCACGTGATAACCACCATATGTATTTTAACTGGATGAGTGTTATCAGATGTGCACTCTGAAAGATTGCTATGAAGGTGGTGTGGAGGGTGAATTGGAGGGCTGGTAAACTGGGTAAAGAGATCAGTTAGACAGTAGAAGAGAGAGAAGTTTTAGAAGATTAGTTGCTGAACTTGATGGCCAGTTGATCAGTTGATGGAAGAAAGGGAAAAGGGAGAGTCTATACTGATGTCCAAATTCTGGCTTGGGCTATTGCATGGATATCATTGCCATTGAACAAAATGGGAAAGGTAGAAGCACATTGAGGGATAGAGTGGGTGGACAACTGGCTAGATAATAAATTTAGCTTTGAAAATGCTGAATGTGAGTGTGTGTGGTCATAAAGTAGACACTTGAATATATTTATCTTGAAGTTCAAAAAAGATAAACTTGCCTATGGTTTTCGGTGGGAATAATCATTTTATGGTTGGTACCTGGAGCCTTGGGAGTGAACAATATCTGGAGTCATCCAGGAAAAACAAAACAAAACAAAAAAAGAGGTCCTGAGAGGAAACTCTAGGGAGCACTGGCATTTATGATACAGATGAAGGAAGTTGACCAAGGAAGGGAGTTGGGACTGGATCTTTTGTTACCTAATTAAAAAAAAAAAAAAAAATTGTAGCATTCTTGCAGACTCATTAGGAAAATACAGAAAAAAAGGGGAAAAAATTCATCTTCATCCTACTGCAGATTGAGTTACTCTTTGAGTTTTTTTTTTACCGCCATATAACTTTCTGTTATATATTAAACTATATGTAATTGTAGTGTGTAGTATATAAAGCAGTCAGCTTTAAATTGAAATGCCTTATAATTTAATTGCAGACTTTCCTAAGGTTGCTAAATCCATAGAAGGTTTTAAGAAATTCAGATTCCAGATCTTCCTTTTTTTGTGACGTTCATGCATTGCTTAATGATCACTGTTGTTGTTGTCATGTGCCGTCGAGTCGGCCCCGACTCATAGCGACCCCTCCTTGGGTTTCCGAGGCAGTATCACTACAGAAGTAGGATTGCCCAACCTTCCTTCCGAGGAGTGGCTGGTGGGTTTGAACCGCCAGCCTTCTGGTTAGCAGTCAAGTGCTTTAGCCACTATGCTACCAGAGCTCCTTAATGATCACTATAACCAACAAAAAAACAAACGAAACTCACTGCCTTCAAGTCTATTTGACTCATAGTGACCCCTCCTTGGGTTTCTGTGGTGGTATCACTATGTAAGTAGATTGCCTAATCTTCCTTCCAAGGAATGGCTGGTGGGTTTGAACCATCAGCCTTCTGGTTAGCAGTCAAGTGCCTTAGGCATTACGCTACCAGAGCTCCTATGTCTACTATACGTATTGTGAAATAGGACATTGTATGATTTGGACGTTGTGTGAGCATCACATACGGGCAGTCCCCAGATTACGAATGAGTTCTGTTCTTAAGTTTGTCTTTTTGTTGTTGTTGTTAATACAATGATTGGGTTATTGTTTTTTCCTAAGTCTGTCTTTAAGTTGAATTTGTACATAAGTCTGAACAGTTTATATCTAACATCAGTTAGTGAAATGCTTGTCCTAGTATATAGTATATAGTGTGTACCTTAATAAAACAGTAGTAGTAATAATAATGTTTTGCTGTGTATGGCATGGTAGCACCCATTTGTTATTAGGAACTGTTGTAAGTACCTCGAAATTTTAGTGTAATAGGCCTTGGGGGGTGGGTTGGAACTGTGGATGTATGTGCAATATATGCAGTCAGATGTTATCCTGTATGGACGTTATACCAAGAATAACTATATTTCTAAAGTAGATTTGCCTGAGTATACTTCAGTCTTCCTTCCTTATGACAAAAGAAAGGCTTACCCTCACCCACCACAGATTTGGTGCTTTGCCCTAGGGTATAAAAACCTCCAGGGTATTAAATAAATTGATTAAGTAAAATATTGGTTGGGGAAGTTTCCTTTAACTGATTAAAGGAACTGTTATCTATTTGTTGAGTGACTTTGTGGAGCAAAAGGTTAAGCACTCAGCTACTAGCTGAAAGATTGGTGATTTGAACCCAGCCAGAGGTACTTTGGAAGACAGGCCTGGTGATTGGCTTCTGAAAGGTCCCAGCCTTGAAAACCCCATGGGGTTCTACTCTGCACACATGGAGTCACCCACCATGAGTTGGAATTGAAGGCAACTAATAACAGCAGCCTATTTGTTAAGAGCGAAGCTTGACATTAGAAATGTGGTATTTTGGCCTATGTTTTAAGATACTCTGAATTTAGAACATTTGAAGCAATGTTAAGTTAGTGACAGTGAGTCTTCTATATATGTGACTGGAGTATTTATAGGCCTACCAGATTTTTCCAGATACATTGGATAAAATAACAGATATATTATTTCTTGTTTGGTGTACATGGTTCAGTAAAACTCTCACTGCCTTCAAGCCAGTTCCAAGTAATAGCAACCCCCCCCCATAGGGTTTCCATGACTGTTTTTATGGAAGCAGACTGCCTTATCTTTCTCCTGTGGAGCAGCTGCTGAGTTTGAACCACTGACCTTTTGGTTACCAGCCACATGCTTTAATCACTGTACCACCAAAGCTTATTACTATTCAGTAAAGTAGTTAGAAATTATTTTGTTAAGTAATCTTATGGAACATTTATTGTAATTACAATCAATCTTCATATTTAATGTTACAAGTATTTAATATAGCTCTTAATAACAAGCAACAAAATTTACTTAAACTTAGGATTAAGAATTAATATTAGATGTTAATTTATAGATGTGCAATTCAAAAATATTAGATCACTGATATGTGTGCAAATACATATACACACAGAGAGATGTAATCAGTATACATATCCAGTTGATATCCTTAAAATTGTGAGCATTTTTTTCCCCACTTTATTATATTCTCTTTCAACATTTTTAATGGTTCCAGAATAATCTGTAATATGGATACATACAATTATAATTGGACAGTTAGTATTTCTTTATTGCTATCTAAGGCATTTGACTGCTAACCAGAAGGCTGGTGGTTCAAACCCACCAGCCACTCCTCGGAAGGATAGTTGGGCCAATCTACTTCCTTAGTGATACCGCCTTGCAAACCCAAGGAGGGGTCATTATGAGTCAGATCCGACTCTATGGCAGTGGTTTTGCATTATCATAAATAAGATTCTTGTGAATGTTAATGGAGATCGATTTTTCTTGCATTTGTAATTATTAGGACAGATTTCCCAAAGCTGATGTTTTGTATCAAAGAGTCTAAATTTGATTAAATTCTTGGTACTTATTGCCCAGTTGCTGCCTAGAATGGGATGTAAATTGGCACAGTCCTACTGGTATTCACATGAGCAAGTACTGGTTTCCCTCACCTTACCAGTGTTGGGTGCTTATATTTTCTTCATTATCACCTTTTGAAAGTTGTAACAAGTTGAGAATTTTATTGGGAAAGTTAATTGTTTTTGTACAAGTAACAGGATCTTTAATTGCTGTCTTTCTTTATAGCTATTATTAATAAAATTGTTATGTGAGATTAAACAGTTCACCAGAAATATGAGGTTATGGAAACGTGGGTCTGTGATATGTGAAGCCATCTCCTAGGCAGTTAGGAATTAGGATTCATTTTTATTCTCCAAAGTCTTTGATGATCTCTGATGATCAGTATTTTTTCTGTCTGAAGCCTAATTTGCTTAATTTAGACATACGGCTTTTTGTGTTTTATATATATGTGAACAGGACCAGGCAGTGTTTCGTTCTGTTGTACATATGAGTTAGAGATTACTACTCAATGGCACATAACAGTGTATGTGTGTGTATATCTATATATACAAATATACACACAAAGACCTGTTTGGCGTGTCTGCTTGAAATTAGAATTTAAATCGATTGGGAAGAGCATACGTAATTGGGATTTGCGTGAATCATTTATTGTCGTGATGTAAGAATATATTCTTTAATATTATTTTACCTTCTCTACTAAATAGTAGAACTGCCCCATAGGATTTCAGACCTTGTAAATCTTTGCAGAAACAGATTGCCACATATTTCTCCTGTGGCGTGGCTGGTGGATTCACATTGGTAAGCACTTTAGCCACTGCACCACTAGAACTTCTTACCTTCTTTACTAATTATAGCTTAAATAGCTGTTCTAAAGTCTGGGAGTCTTAAAAAATAAAAAGGAAAAAGAAAGTCTTGTAATCCATTCAGGTAGCTGTCAGAGCACGTACACCAAAATTCAAGGTCCTTTAGTACTTCACTCAGCATACTGTAACTTTTGACTCTCTGTACTTACTATAACTGTACTGCAAATGTAAGAAAGAAAAATTTCCCTACAGTCCCTTCATTCTAATGTTCATGTTCTCTTTATTCATTATATAATTTTACAAAGCATAATTAACAGGCTTTCCAGCCTATAGTAACTTAGAAACCAAATTTAAAGAGATGAGGCATGTTACAGGGACAGGTACCTATATTCTGTAGCAGCTAGAGGTATACATACTCAATTGAACTTGAGAACATTGTCTTGCATGATTGTTAAATGTGATACTTTTTGATGATCAATAAAAGGTAAAATAACATTTTACATTCTCTGTTTTAAGACTGCAGCAAAATCTATAAATCATTTCCAGAATCAGTAAAGTGAAAAATTGAATATATAAGGTAAACTAGAAAATTTCTTTCCATGGGTAGTTTTATTTTCAGGTTACAAGGAGCAGAGACCCAGGTTGCCTTAAATAATGGGATTTATTAATATAATTAAACACAGCATACTTAAGATAATTAAACACAGGAATTAAATAACTTAGAAAATGAATAGCAGTTCTTGTGGCCCCTAGATTTAGTAGAAATCTCTACTTTTCTTGTTCCTGTTCTTTCTTAGTCTTTCTTTGCTCTGTCTGCTTCTGTTGCTGTTACTTAAACACTCTTTCTCTGCTCTGCTTCATGCTTTTGGTTTCATGCTTTCTCTGTGCCTCTTGTGCTGAATGTCACTTGACTATCACTCAGATTTCTGAAAAGAGATAATCAGAGTGAGTTAAAATGTTATTATTGAATTCAACAGGAGCATATTGGGCAGAATTCTTAGGCTAAGCTTCAGGGTTTCAGTCCAGCTCATAAATAATTGCCTTTAGTTGAGATGCTCAGTTTTCATTCCCCAGTTGAGAGTTCTGGTTGTGACAGAGGTGATGGGGTCATACAGTACAAAGCATGATAACCTGTACATATAGCAACCTATTTCACAACTGGCAGTCTCTTAAAAACTTTATAACAGGGTTATAAACGCAACTTTTAAAAGGCTGAGGGCCACTGAAGTGGAGAGCCCATGCCTCACTCAAAGGGGCAACCTCTACTCACCTCCAACCAATTGGTGCCATGTGGCAATGCAGGTTGAATGTTGTCAGGTCTCCCAGTTTGGTTTTTTTTTAATTACAATAAATCCAAAATCCACATTATATAAAATCTCTCAATTTTTGCAGGCAACTCTTTATCAGTAGTTGTTGGGAAGTGTTTCAAATAGTTTTTTGAATATACTGTGCAGACCAATCAAACTACACCAGTGGGTTAACAATTAGTGATCCTGACTTTCTAATATATCTAGTATAACTTTCATTTCTAGTGAGGCTGGCTAAATGAGAGCCTTGTATACATAAAGTAGTCAAATGGAATGGAAAAAGGCCTAGTGTTATCACTTAACTAGCTCTATGATTTTGAATGAGCCACATAAACTGTTGGGGCCTTACTTAACTCAGGATACATTTGAGGCTCAAATTTCACTGCAGGAGAAGTGACCTCTGACCACCCTACCTGAACTAGCTCCACCCTGCGTATACCTTTATTTTTTCTTATATCACTTGGTGCTAGCTGACATTACATTATATATTTATTTGTATATTTGTTTCTCGGGATTCAAAATGGAGTCTCGTCAGCGATCACCACGCTAATTCCCTCTACCATCTTAGTGTTTGAAAAACTAGGTACAGCAGTTTGAGTTAGGGATTCTGGTGCTCTGAACAGCTCACTGAGTCAGAGTGTACCAAACTCAGGGGAGTAGAATTAGAAAGGAGAAAGGGACGGGAAAAAATAACAAGATTAGAAGATCTGTCCTGTATATTTGTTTCTCTTATTTAGCCCAGTACCTGGTACAGTACCATAAAGATATACCCAGAATGAATAATAAATGCATTTTATACCGAACCAAAAAACTAGATCCACTGCCATTGAGTTGATTCGGACTCATAGCAACCCTTTAGGACAGCGTAGTATTGCCCCATAGGGTTTCCAAGGATATAAATCTTTACAGAAGCAGCTGTCTCATTTTTCTCCCACTGAGTGGCTTGTGGTTTAAACTGCCAACCTTTTGGTTAGCAGTCTAATGCTTTAACTTCTATGCGTCCAGAGCATCTATGCATTTTATACACTTTACAAACATATCATGTTTGTTAAATTTTACATTATTTAACTCATACAGTAATATAGGAAAGATTCTGTTGTGATGAAAAGGAAACAAAGATGCCAAGAATAACATAAAATAATCTTACCTGACTTTTGGTTATACATAGGTTAGCTGATGAATTACATATGCCATCTCTTCCTGAAATGATGTTTGGAGACAACGTTTTGAGAATCCAACATGGCTCTGGCTTTGGAATTGAGTTCAATGCTACAGATGCTTTAAGATGTGTAAACAACTATCAAGGAATGCTTAAGGTAGCCTGTGCTGAAGAGTGGCAGGAAAGCAGGTGAGAAGTTGGATAGTTATGGGTTAAACAAAAAAGTAAAGGGTTGGAAGAAATATTTAGAGTATGTGTGTTTTGTTGAATAAAAAGCTAGTGTTATTATTAAGGTTTAGAATTAAATCATTCTATATTTCTTTTTTTTTAATCCATAAAATGGAGGTTAGTTAGTTAATCCCACTACTGGAATACTTGCATAATTGAATTAACAATTGAGCTGAGAGTTATGTAGGTTTACTTTTTCAGGCATTTAGACTTCTATAATGAAGAGGCAATATACTATATACTTCAATATTCCTGATTTTGAAAAAATATCGCTTACCTATGACTTACATTAAGAATTTGAGGAGCACTGGAATTTTTTAAAAAATGTGTTATTATTGATAATCAAATCAGCAACTATTTACTTTGTGCCTTTTACATACTAGGTACCTTGAAGGATTCAAGGAAATATAAGCATTTAAAACATGCAGGCAGTAACAGTCTAATTGGAGAGACTACATCAGCATGTGATAAGTTAAATAACAATAAATACAGGGAATGACTCTTAAGATGTTGTACTAGAGAATTATGACAAGTATATGTATTTAGTAGGTACTTCATATATTTGTTGAACATAATCTGGTGTGGTATATGAACACAAATGATCTGTATCTGAACCTTCTTATTTTGGTATTTGAGGACGGAGGGTGAACACTCTAAAGAAGTTGTTAAACCATATGATTGGACGTATACAACAGATTATAAGGGAACATTACTTGGAGAATCACTTAAGTTAAAGGTAAATCTTATTTTTTGCTTCTTGAGTCATTAATTGCCTTGACTAGTCTCAACATTAGAGCTTTTCAGTAATGGCCACTAATTATTTTCTATTGTGGCAGGTACCAGAACTGAATAGAAGGAGATATTGTTTGTTGTTTATTGGCAGAAAATAAAAGAAAGTTAAAGTGGAACAATCTTTATTCTTAAAAGTGTAGTTGGTAGTAATGGTAAGAACATTAATGCCTTAATGTTGTTGTCACTATGTTGTTGTTATGTGCTGTCGAGTCGGACCCGACTCATAGTGACCTCTCCTTGGGTTTCCAAGGCGGTATCGCTACGGAAGTAGATTGCCCAACCTTCCTTCCGAGGAGTGGGTAGTGGGTTTGAACCACCAGCCTTCTGGTTAGCAGTCAAGTGCCTTAGGCACTACACTACCAGAGTTCCTGTTATCACTGTAAGAAATGTTAAAGTATATGTATGTGTCCCTGGTAATATGGTAGGTGATTTAGATAGAAACTGCTAGCTAGCAGCTTAAAATTTTACAGATGGATAGACATATGGGCAAACAGTACTTTTGGCCAAACAATTAAGATTTGTATTCTGCTTGCACTATATCTGAACCTGGTATGACATCAGGCAAATTATTTAACCTATCTGAATAACAGTTCTATCAGTTAAAAGAGTATAACAAAAATATTTAGCTCATAGCATTGTTTTAATGATAGGAGATAATGTATGGGGAAACTCTCGATAAATTCTGAAACTCTCTAATAATGTTAAGATGCATCCTTATAAGCCCTTTGTGAAAAAGAGATTTACTTCATGGCCAATGATACTAGGAAAGTGAACTTAATAGGTCTTATACTGGGATGGGAGCTTAGCTGTATTTTTAATCTCTCAGTGTGACTGAAATGAATCAAATATGACTTAGGCTGCATGTCTCTAAATATTACAGACTGTTGTAGAAAAGTGTGTTAGACTGGGTTCTCTAGAGAAACAAAACCAGTTAAGCTTATATAGAGAGAGAAAGGGAAATTTATCTTAGGAAAATGGCTCACAGACTTATAGAAGCTGACAGGTCCAAAGTTCTTGGATCAAACGTCAAGCTGGAGGCTTTTCCCGACTCATGCAGCTGCAGGGGCCGAGGAGCTCAAGGCTGGCAGGCAGTATGCAGGCTGTTGACTCGAACAAATGACGAATCCAAGATCTCCAGGCCGAATGGTGGATTGTTTGCTCATGGACTGTTGTAGGCAGCACAACAGAATCCTGATCCACAGAAGAGTGTCTCTTTTCCCAGGATGTTCATAAATATACTGGAAGCAGGCCACACCCCTAGGGAAACTCCCTTTCAACAGATTGGCTGCTCAAAACGTATTCATCTGATCCCATCATGGGAATAACCACATCCCAGTTGCTTAAACCATACACAGTTGTGGTCCAGCCAAGTTGATACACAGCTCCAACTATCACAAGAAGGAAGTTATTCCAGTACAAATGCATTTATATTAAAAATTGTTCTTGGAGCATCTTCCAGCAAGATGGCAGAACAGGCAGACAAGCTGCCCAGACCCCCTACAACAAAAAAAAAAACAAGAAAACAATTGAAAGAGATAAAGAGGATAATTCTGGAACCCTAAGCTTCAAGGAAGGTTAAAGAAGTTTATTAAATACCAACTAGTAGAAGAAACTAGGTGACAACAGCAAATAAAGAGACAAACGGAGCTGTGGGCTGTTGACTGGCCTTACGGTGTGGCCATTTTTGAATACTTGCAAATGACGTTCCAATCCGGGCAGCAAACTGATAACTTGCTTGCCAAGGCCTACATGGGCAACCACACTGGTAGCTAACAACCAGAAAGAAAGCAACTATGCCCATGTGACCTAGACACATCCGTACCACTTACAGCCCCACCCACTGAGTGCAGGGCACTACCTGCTTCTGCCCTAACTGATCAGTGATAGATGTGGCCATTACCAACCCGCCCCCCAATCAACTGCTCTACATGAACAGCTAACAGATCTGTGCACACATTCTCATCTTCTGTCATACCCACGAGGAGGCAGGCACTGAGTGGCTAAGTGCTGCCAAACTAGCAAATAGAGTAGCATACCAGCCCCACTCAGTCAGAGATATCAAAACAAAATAAAGAAAAAAGAAAAACCTGGGTGAATCATACCAACATACAATTACCAATTAAATATAAATACATCATACTGTCTCTGAGACAACTGACAATCATAGTGTACACAAGGGAGCATATTGCAGAGCCAGAAACTTCCCTGAGGAATAAGTGACATTGGAACTACTTGATAAGAAATTCAAAAGAATTCCATTTAGGTACCTTCAATGGATTGAGAGACAGATAAGGAAAACATTGACAAAATTAAGGGAAACTACAGGCAAAACTCTAGAAGAATTTAGGAAAGCAATATGAGAACAAACTAACAAAATAAATGAAAAATTAGGAACTATATAAAAACAGCAAATAGAATTCAAAATGGAGTCTCATCAGTAATCACCACACTATTTCCCTCTAGCATCTTAGTGCTTGAAAAACTAGGTACAGCAGTTTGAATTAGGGAATTTAGTGCTCTGAACAGCTCACTGAGTCAGAGTGTACCAAACACAGAGGAGTAGAATTAGAGGAAAGGCACAGGGAAAGAAATTAAGGAAGATCTACCCGGCGGAGGGTGGACAGGCAGCCGAGAGAGGCCATTGGAGACTTCCCTGGGGGAGTGACTGGTGGACAAGGGCGGCCACCTGAGACCTCCCTGGGCCAAGGCAGAAGACACCCTATATCAGCATACCAGTGAACACACCAGCATACCAGCAAACACCCCAAGGATCTACCTTCAGCCCCTGATTTTATCAGTAACTTGGGTCAGCTAGGTGCAAACGGGCGTGCGTAGCACCACTGAAACTCAAATGGCGAGCTCACTGGTGCTCCAGGAGGGTGAGCTTGCTCTCCCCTCAGCGGGTCACTGAGTGGGCTTGGGTCAGCTTGGGTGGCATTGAGAGGTCTGTGCTTGTCTTTGTCACTGATACCGGGACCGCAGATTACTAGCAGGCACTCTCCTAACTCCAGCGCAGCTGAAACCACGTGCATCTTTGGCACCGCAGGTGGGCAGAATCACAGACAACCTCCCGAGCTGTTCACGGTCTGGGCTGATTGGGCTGGTGCTGTGGGCAGACGGGGTGGAGAGAGAGGAATCCACGGCCGAGTGTGGACCTGGGAATTTGCCTTGAATCAGCTTTTTGGCATCGAGGGGCCTCGAGAGCGGGGTCTTTTGTTTGTCTGAGCCTGGCGGAAAGTGGCGACACCCTAACAACAGGAATCTTTCCTGAAATTGAGCCACGGGCTTGTAAATAATAGTATGACGTCATCAGTAGCAGCTTACTCAAAGCCCTAGAAACAGACCCTAGCAACAGCAAGCTTTCCTTCTTCCTCTCCTAACTTCTCTTCCAATAACTCCACTCATTCAATAGAAGAAACCGTATTCAGCCAACATAAAACCTCCCGGTTCAAACTCTAAACCCTCTTTATGACAAACAGAAACACATACCACATTCCACACAGTGATTCCACCATCACAAAGAAAACTGCAGAGTGACCTAGCATACATGAATCAATAATAAAATACACCGGCTTCACCTTTTCAAAATATTAAACTATAAAACCGAGACAAAACAAATCAACACATAACCAGCAGTTAAAGACAAACTCAAAATGTCTAGGAATCAACAGGCAACCTCAAATCAAACAAAAAAACAGGACAAGACATTAGAAGCAAAACCACAAACAAAGGTCTCAGTATACATGGAGGAAGAGGAGGCAATAGAATTGTCTGAGAAGGAATTTAGAGGATATGTTTATAGAGCTATACAAGAGCCTAAGGAAACCCCAAACAGAAACAAGGAGAGCGCAGACAGTTCCCTGGAGGAACTCAGGGAAATCATTGAGAAACAGAATATTAAGATTAATGCACAATCAGAACTCATGCAAAAATAGCAGTTAGAAATGCAGAGGATGTTTTTTGATATGCAGAGCATGAGCACCAAAATGACAGAACTACACAACACAGTAGAAGCTCAAAAGAGTAGATTAGAACTGGCTGAAGAATGCATATCTCAACTAGAAGACAAATCCCTGGACACTAGCCTGTATGAAGAAAAATCAGAACAAAGATTTAAGAGAAATGAAAAGAACTAAGAATTATATGCGATGACATAAGACGAAACAATATAAGACTCCTTGGAATTCCAGAACAAGAAGAGGCGAAAAAGACCACTAAGAAAATTGTGGAAGACCTGCTAACAGAAAACTTCCCCCATATCATGAAGGAAGAAAAAAAAGATATTTATCCAAGAAGCTCATAGAACCCCATACAAGTAGACTCCAAAAGAAAGACACTGAGGCATATTATAATCAAACTTTCCAAAACCAAAGACAAAGAAAAAATTTTGAGAGCTTCCCAGGAAAAAAAGACATATTACATATAATAATCAAACAGACTGAGCTCCGATTACTCAGCAGAAGCCATGCAGGCAAGAAGGCAATGGGACAACATATATAAAACTCTGAAGGAAAAGAACTTCCAACCAGGAATCCTATATCCAGCCAAATTATCCATCAAATAATGAGGGTGAAATCAAGGCATTCTCAGATAAACAGAAATTAAGAGACTTTGTGAAAACCAGAGCAACCCCACAAGAAATGCTTAAGGAAGTTCTACCAATAGAGAACCCACAACAGAGATCAACAAAACCAGGATATGTGACATCAACTCTAAAACCAAATCAGAAATAGATTCTCATAATAAGACCATAAAACATTCTACCTTAAAAACCAAGGAACTCAAATCAGCACACAACAACAGCAACTAACCTAACAGAGGGAATAATACTTCTAGGTACAGACCCTCAAATGGAGAGGAAAACACGACAATGTTTTTGCAGCATGCACTGTTCTAAAAATGTAGAGACAAGAATATACTTCAAGGTAACCACAGAGAAAAGTA